TAATATACCTAATAGGAAGAAAAATGTGCAATGTCTAGCACCATGTGGGGGCTGGTCTGTGACTGGAGCACCTACATGCTACCGTAATACACCTAATCAATAATAATCACAATGGTTTGATCCTTTCGCCGTGCTATGGGAGGCCCCAGGTGCCTTGTCCCATCTCCAAGCGCTCACCGTGGCCCGGGCCCAAAAGGAGATCTCAGCCTACGTTCCACAGACCATCATCAGAGCATCGTGCAGGGCCGACGAAATGTCCTGCACTGCCAGCCCCGGAGGCTGACAGCAGCTGTGCACCCACAGGGCTGCTGAGGGCAGGATCCGCAGACACCCTGCTTGCTCCATATGCCTCACTCTGATCCGAGCTCTGGCCTCCCTTCTGACGTGGCCAGAGCTCATTTCACACCATCTATTAGGTGGCCACAGCTTTGGGGTTCCATTGCCTTGGGTTAGTTCTAACCACCGAGTCCAAGGCTGCGCTTCCCTTTATCCAGCCCCCTGAGCCATCAAAAGCAGCTGTTTACATAAGGCCACATCTGGCCAGATGTGTGGGTGGGGAGGGGGTCCAGGAGATGACTGCCACCATCGCAGGTACTGAGCCCACTGTCTGGTTTCAGGAGTGAGGGTGAATGGGGCACCCATGGAGCTGTGTGGGCAGGTCCCAGGGCTCCACACACAACAGCCTCAGCCCCTGACGGTGTTTAAAATGCGGAGCCGTGACCTGGGGGTGTGGCCCTCCCCCCTTCCACCCCAGCTGCTCAGGGGAAAGAGGAATAATGGGTTGGCTTTCAGATGAGATGCAAATTGATATCCCACTGCAATTTATGCAAGAGACAGGAAGGTTAACGCTGGTGTCCTGGCCAAATTCCAGCCGGGTTGATTGTATCTCACCTCTTTAAATTCCCCTGTCAGTGGGTGCAGGATTGCTCTTCATGGCCTGCCCTAGACTGGCATGCGGCCTCGTCGTCACACAGCCCCTGCGCCCCTCCCCACAAGCGGCTGCCTCTGGGCAAGGGATTCCTGTGTAAACAGCTGCTGCACCCCACCCCAGAGGTGGCCGCATCTCGACTGCGTGTGAGCGATCCCTGTATAAACGTCTGCCATGCTGCACCCCAGAGGTGGTTGCATCTCAGCACTGGATGAGACGTCTTTGTACCAATAGCCCCCACTACCCCACCCAAGAGGCAGCCCTAGCTCAATACCAGGTGAGGGAATCCTACATAAACATCTGCCACATCCTACCCCCGAGGCAGCTAAGTTAAGGTGCACTGCAGGGAGTCACATTCAGGAAAGAAAATCCTGGCATTTCAGCACCAGATGATAGTGCCCTTTATAAACAGCTGCCGTACTCCACCCCAGAGGCAGCTGCATTTCAGTGTAGGGTGAGGTTATCACAGTCTGTTAAGGCACTTTGGGGTCCTTAAACTGCCCTCCCCCACCTGGGTTGATTAGACTGACTACCGGGCCCATTTGTGATGGCCCAAGCCAGGATTTACCCCACTGAACAGGGCACCCTGCAGTGCTCCTGAACTGTGTCTGCAAAAGGAGCCTCTAAGGGCCAAACTCCACCCTGGTGTAACTCAATGTCATTACATCTGTTTATGCCATGGCTGGATTGCACGGTGGAGCACTGCCCCCATTCAGCTGAATGGCGTGTTAACCCTGCTGCCCAATGACACCCCCCTCCCCCACAACATTGTTAACCCTTTCAGTGCTGGCCGCCTGAGGAGGAACAGCCACCATCACACTGAGGACTTTTCTCCCCCCACCCAGGGGGGGAGGGGTGGGCACCCCATAGATTAAGAAGACCCACGGAGCTACTAGAGTGCACAATACTCTGATGAGCACAGTGTGAGCACATGATTCCCAGCCTGGCCACCAGGGGGCACTGGACAGCCCAGACAGGCTTGCCTGGCTCTACTTCATGCAGTTGTACAGTTGGCTTCAAACTTGGGTGATTTTAGGTGGCAGATTTCTTTACCCCACCCCCCATCCCCAATCCCAAACTGTGGCTGGCCTTGATTTCCTAGTCTAGTGAACTGAGCACAGGATTGGGAGCCAGGACGCCTGGGTTCTCTTGCCAGCCCTGGGAAGGGAATTGGGGGCAGGGGGCGTTAGAGCAGGGCGGGATAGGAGTTAGGACTCCTGGGTTTTATTCCCAGCTGTTGGGAGGGGAGTGGGGTCTAATGGCTGAGAGGGGCGGGTGGGCTGGGTGTCAGGACTCCTGGGTTCTATTCGCAGCTCTGGGAGGGAATGGAATGTGCTTAGAGTTGGCAGGGAGGCTGGGAGGCAGGACTCCTGGGTTCTATTTCTGGCTCAGGGAGTGGAATGGGGTCTTGTGATTAGAGCAGGGTGGGCTGGGAGGCAGGACTCCTGGGTTCTAGCCCCAGCTGTGGAGAAGGATGTGGTAGCTAGCATTTAGAGCAGGAGAGGCTGGGAGCCAGGACGCCTGGGGTCAATTCCAAACCCTGCCACTACCCTTGCATGGGACCTTGAGGTGAGTCCCTCCACCACCTCGCAAGCAGGGATAAGGACACTGGGCCTGCTTCTTGGCAAAGCTCTTCCAGAGCCGGAGCGGCAAAGCCCTAGGAGGAGCCGGACTCAGCACTGCTGGGAGGGCCCCGCAGACTGACCCCAGGGGGCAGGGACGCCAGGCGAGCTCCGGTCTCTGATACAGGCAGTGCGTGCGTGCGGATCCAAGGAACAGGCACAATTGTTCTGAATGCTGCCTGAATACATTTGTGCCAGCACAATCCCCCCCACCTACCCTGTTATGGAGAGACATGATAATAATGGGAGATGAATGCCACTGACAGTCACGTTAATGCTCAGCCGCGTTAATTACCGCTGCCAGACAAAATTGCTTTTTTATCAAGTGGTTGCGATGAGCCACTCACAGGTCAACAGTAATTAAACACTTGACACCCTTTTTGGGGGAGTGGGGTGGCTTTCATGTGATGGGGAATTGATGTGTGTGTGTGTGGGGGGGGAACTACGCACACACCCCCAACAGATTCCCATGTCAAGTTTATTACAGGTGTGGGAGGGGAAGGAGTTAAACATGAAAACTACCAGCCCCTCCCGACACCGACAAGGTTTTAAACATGATGGACTAGAATCCAGTCTGTTCTGGGATGGCCCAGAGTGGGTTCTGTGCCTGGCTCTGGGGCGGGAATGGGTTAGCGCAGGGGGGCTGGAAATCAGTCTCCTATTATAAGGTGGGTGCACAACTGGTTGGAAAACTGAGAGTAATTATCAATGGTTCACAATCAAGTTGGAAGGGCACATCGAGTGGGGTCCCGCAAGGATCTGTCCTGGGTCTGTCTCAGCTTCTGGCAAACAGGGGCTAGGGACACTTATAAACTTTGCGGATGATACCAAGCTGGGTGGGGTTGCGAGCGCTTTGGAGGGCTGGATTAGAATTCAAAATGATCAACTAGAGAAAGGTGTGAAATAAAGAGGCTGAAATTCAGTAAGGACAAATGCCACGTACGCCACGTAGGAGGGATCTGGGAGTTAGAGTGGATCACAAACGAAATATGAGTCAACAGTGTAACGCTGTTGCATAAAAAAGTGAAGCTCAGTCTGGGCTGTATTCGTAGGCGTGCTGTAAGCAAGACACGCAAAGTAATTCTTCCGCTCTACTCCGCGCTGATAAGGCCTCCACTGGTGTATTGTGTCCCGTTGTGGGCACTACACTTCGGGAAAGATGTGGACCAATTGGAGAAAGTCCAGCGAGAGCAACAAAAATGACTAAAGGTCTAGAAAACAGGACCTATGAGGGAAGATTGAAAAAACGGGGTTTGTTTAGTCTGGAGAAGAGAAGACTGAGAGGGGACCTGATCACAGTTTTCAAGTACATAAAAGGTTGTTACAAGGAGGAGGGAGAAAAATTGTTCTTCTTAACGTCCGAGGACAGGACAAGAAGCAATGGGCTTAAATTGCAGCCAGGGAGATTTAGGTTGGGCATTAGGAAAAACTTCCTAACTGTCAAGCTAGTTAAGTTCGGGAACAAATCACCCAACGATATTGTGGAATCTCCGTCATTGGAGGTTTTTAAGAACAGGTGAGACAAACCCCTGTCAAGGATGGTCTAGATAATACTTAGTCCTGCCATGAGTGCAGGGCTCTAGACTAGATGACCTATTGAGGTCCCTTCCAGTCCTACATTTCTAATGATTTCTGTGACTTCTGGGGTCTATTGCCAGCTCTGGGAGGGCAGTGAGGTCTAGTGATTTGAGCAGGGGAGGAGGTGGGGCTGGGAGTCAGGACTCCTGGGTTCTGTTCTTGGCCTAGGGAGAGGAGGGCAGTAGTGATCAGTAGGCACGGCCGTATATGTCGGATGTTCTGGGTGTCAGTCTGAGCAGCCAGTGCATCTGGGATTCTCTGCTGGCCCTGGGGAGAGAGATCCGTGCCTGCCGAGGCTGGAGCCCAGTCTCTT